GGCATCGCGTACCCCGTGGGGGACGGCATCCCTACCATGCCGCCGGAGGCGGCCAGGAAGATCCCTGTGCAGCCAGCTGAGAAGCACTGAGGGCCCATGGCGCCCTGGCTGCCCACGCTCAGCGTGCTGGTGCCCCTGCTTGCCCTTGCCGGCCTCCTATACTCGGCCAGCACTGACGAGAGCTTCCCGCGGGGCTGCACCAGCACGAGCAGCCTCTGCTTCTACAGCCTCCTCCTGCCCGTCACCATCCCTGTCTACATTTTCTTCCACCTCTGGACCTGGATGGGCATCAAGCTTTTCAGGCACAACTAGCACCCGCTTCCCCAAAGCGACACCTATAACCTCAGCTGGCCCTGCAGTCCCCGGAGGTGGTTGTCATCGCCGCAGGGTACCCGCAAGCGCATGTGATGTCCTGCCTAGCAAGCCCACTATCTAACGAACACCCAGACACATCCAGAGCATTAATTCTGTCTAACAGGTCCAAGTATTGTGTGGGTGAGTGTGCTACTGAAAATCTTCTAGGTGGTAGTGGTGGTTGCTGGAAAGGACTGTGCTCTCACTGAAACAACTCTTCTAGTTCGTTTTGAACAGCAAGCGATCACAACCTGGCGTGATGTGAACCCATATCTATTACCAGTACAGGGTTTGTTTCTGGGCCTTCAACTGGTGTGAGTGAAATGCATTTGATTCCCTACTGGAAGTATACGTAATAAACAAAGTTGATGTCTCATAACAAAGTGCAAGTTAAATCAAGTTCATTTGGATCACACTCGAATGTGTACATCCAACAGCTGCTTTGCATTTCATTTTTCATAGGCCTCTAACCCTGACTCCTTGGCCAGCAACCTTTTTCCCTTGGAGCCAGCTAGCCTGGAGTCTTGACAGGGCATGTAGCAGGAACCAGCCTGACATCCACTTACACCACCCACATCACCCCAGAGCACCTCAACAGCAAATAAAAATGCCATTTATATGGGTGCCAAACTTAGGCACACCAAGCTTGATGTCAATCTGGAATAAGAGCATAACCTCTTGCGCTCCAGAATTATTTTATGCCCCAAATGGAACATTCTTTTTAATGATATTTTCAGGGAGAGCTTTTTTTTTTCTTCATATGCTCACTGAACACAGTACATCTTTCTTAAAAAATTCAGCAACACTGAAAAACAGACAGCTCTGCAGTAAGATAGTCAGCACTAACAAAATAACAGTTTGATTACTTACTTGTAGGATCCTTGTGAAGTTCTCAGGTAGTGCATTTTTTAAGTTGTACCATATGTCATGCAGAAGGTATTGTCTTCTAACCACAAAAGCCCATACTGTGTGTTTTACCGCTACAGGGTTTACCTGAAGAATCAGAGAAGTGTGTTAAAAATTGCGTATTTATCTCTTAAATTCTTAGAAAAAAAAAGCCACACTTACAACATTAAATGAGGAGCGCGTGCGCAGAGCGTTGTATTCTAAATTATGAACTGCAATCTTATCTTGCATGTCAAAGATGCATGGGTATTTGGTCAGCTTCCATAGAGCTACCTGAAAAAACAAGAAAAAAAAAAAGTGATGATTTTTCTTGCAAAACAGTTGTTCACGACATGTATGTGCAGACTGCACTGCCAGTCCGGACCTCAGCAAGCTCTTGTGTCTCTGAGACATACCCTTGTTGTTTACATGAACAGCATACTGCAGAGGCATGCTTCCTAAAAGCCTTTTCTAGGCATTTCTGTGAGGGGGAACCCTGCTAGGGAGGCATCTGAATTCCTGGGAGGTGTTTATTTTTGTGCAGGCAGGTGCTTGTGCTGCAGCACCCAGAAATAAAACATCCATTTTTAATAGCATCATCCATACTACAACTAAACCAAAATACATAGCAAAAACATCCCCAGGTTATAATATATTATTCACTAGAATTTTTGGTTTTTTTAGTTTTAACACTGAAAACATTTATCATATTGATGCATAGCAAATTGAATCAAAATGTTAATTTTTTTGTGTGAGAAGGCAACAGCTTCAAATAATGTCCTATTTTGATTATGTTTCCGTATTGTTACTCAAACCAACTCCTCTGGTTAATTGGTATAAAGAAGCAGATCAACAAGTGAACTTGTTACTTGTCCTGCAAGTTCCAGTCAACTTGCCAGAAAAGTGCATTATTTGTCTGAGGAACCTGCAGGTTTCCTTTTCCTACTGTTTCTTTTGACTCTGATAGTATTTGATAGCTAGTTCTCATTCCTCCAGAGAGTAGTGTACCACACGACTGACTTTATTACCACTGCTTTTTTCTTAGTTGTGAATGAGTTGAATACTCAACAGGGTTGCTTCGCAGAAGTTTTAAGAAACCTCCAGCAGTTCTGTTAAATGGACTGCTTTAAACTTAGGGTAAGGAAAACTATAGGAACCTCCCCCTCACACACACCCTTCCTGCTATTTCACACTCATCACCAATTGAAAGCAGCTAGTGCTGTTTGAGAAGTTGGGGGACTGCTGCAGCACTCAGAAGCAGACGTTCAAAGGACAGGAATTACTGTGGCTGCTGAAATAAGCCCCAGTGGGATTATACGTCTTTGCATGATATATAGTTAGAGGACTGGAGTAAATGCATTGTCTGAGCATTGTTGGCCTATTAATACAGGCTGCCACATTTATTGGTTCATTTAAACAAAGCAGAAATGGCATTGTACCAGTGGAAAGATTTCATACTTACTTTTTTCACATCCTCACAGTAATTAATTTCTATAAGAGTTTTCACTTCAGGTATGTAAAAGTTGTTTTGGGCCATTCCAAAACCAGCCCTGGAGTTCACCTGTGCGATATAAAAAGGCGAGTTGGCAGATCTAACAAGCAGTGCATCTTGCAGTGTACAACAGGGCAGGACTGAGGACTAAGAGGGCTCTGAGGCCCTGCACAGAAGTGGAAGTACAGAAATACTCCAAGCAGCACAGCACTCAACAAGGAGAAGGGAGAAAACCTTGAGTCAACTCCCTGGCAAGTGATGTTCATTTACAGGGAGGCCCATCAGCAGGACTCCATCAGGGAGGTATGTTTTACTTAGAGCCTCTTTTGTGCTGCAAGAAGCTCTGAAATTTCTGCCATAACTCCAATATTCAGTGCCTGACAAAGGTCTGATTTTTCAGGGACAGGGAAGATGCTGGGATCCAAGTGATGTTATGCCTTAGAAGACTAGGCCTGCTGCACTTCTACTTGTTTATCCACTAAATAAATACTGATTCAGGAGTCTAAATTTATGTGCCCAAACCTGCATTCTCTCTCAAGGAGATTCAGTTTTCAACAGAATTTTATGATTCCCTCTGATTAACACCACATACAGGTTTGAGCTCTTGACTCCTAAATTTTGAAAATCTCATCAGGAACAAAATGGTACTCAGCATATAGCTGTCCTTCCCCACCTCCCCCTGAGTCATCTGCAGCAACAAACATGTTCTAATGCTGTCATCCCAAACAACTCCCCAGATACCAGACCCTTAAAACATCTTGCAATATGGGTGTCACAACCATCATGTGCAAGACACACAGGCTTATCTTCAAGACACTGTGGGCAGCTGGTAGGGCGAGAGATTGCACCTGCACGAAGGGTAATGGGCCTGCTCTGCAGCCACACAACCTCCTGCACACCCCCGAGCATCTCCCATGGGGCTGCAGCGCGCGTCAGCTCCTCACTTCCATAGCGGGTCAGCCCCTATGGCACAAGTCAAGGTGGGGTAGGCAGAAGTGCTCCCTGTAGCAAGCGAGGAGCTTCACAGCTACACTAGTGTAAGGTCAAGGAGATCCCTGAAGCAGTGTCAAACAACAAGGACCCCTGTTCCCTTGCGAGAAGGAAAGTCAGAATTCTGAGAAAAAAAGAAGTCCTACTTCAGAATCCAACCCCTTTCTCACCTGGAAAAGAAGCTGTAATAGCCTCAGATTTGCTCTTTTGTGGCAGCGCAGATCAGAGAGGTTCCTTTGGAAACACATCACTTCCATGATGTATTGAAACAGGCTGTTCTGGGAAGCCCATTGGTAGGTGCTGACCAGCTCTTCGAAGAAGCAAGGCTCTAGATTTGACCACAAGGATTCTGTAAAGAAAACAGCCACTAAGTTACCTACCACAAGCAACAAAAATAACTACAGTTTCTGGATGAAGCTGCATTTCCTCTTTCTATTCAAATGACCTACACAAAATATTTACTTTTGCACTGCAAAAACTAGGAAACCTTTTCTTGTGACTGTTTTTGCTGTCTAGTCTCCATGTTTCTTAGTCTACAGAAAGCACCTCCAGGCTGAATTCCTGGGACCCATTACATCAACGAGAGTATCTCTTCCCCTGCAGCCCCAAATGAGCGAGCATTTAAATAATCCAGCTCTACCAACTCCAAAGCATACCAAGAGTTTGCAGGTCCTTTGCCTGGAGCTTCATGATGGCTTCTGCTAGCAGACTAAGACAATGGTAAGAGGTGTCGTCATCTCTCCGCAAAAGGAAAGGTAAGATCAAGTAGATCCTGAAGTTTTCAGGTGAGATGGGAGAGGAAGGCAGTGATAGTAGCAACTTCATAATTTTCTGTTTCACCTTAAAAAGGGGGAAAAAAAGGATTAAAAATGGAATGGTCTTTTGCCAAGATAACCCATGAGTTAGCTCACAATTCCCCAGTTTCATGCACAAATCTTCCTTCACGCGTTAGCCTAGGGCACTACCTCTAAATTCAGTTCCTGAATTAGTCAGTTTTCTTACTGACTTTGGGTTACTGATTCGTTCATTTGTGTCAATAAAAGTTATCAGGATAATTTTCCAAACACTTCCTTCCTAGGGAAAAGAGGCCTGGCAGCTTTTTGGGAACGGACTTACTCCTAGCGCTATGACTTTATGTCCAAGCAAAATGAAATGCTTCAGCGGGAACAACATGCAGACTGTTCCTACCTGAAACGTGGGGAAGTGATACGCAGATCCAGAGGTCTGTGGTATTTGTGTAGCAACAATTTCTGCATCACATCCTTACCTCTTGGAGAATCCCAGGCTTGCAGCTGATATTCCTGTAAAAATGTAGCACTGCTGACAAGTTTACACCTGAGACTTCTTTAGATGTTCTGAAATGTTTGTCCCTATGACAAAGGGAAAAAAACAAAACAAAGCCACTAAATGCGAGAAGCTTGAATGCCTGTTTTTCTTAGAAAAACATCTTAACATTGCCACTTTAAAAGTGTTAAACCCTGACCCTAACGAGCATCATTTCAGCTCTTCCACCTAATCCCCAGTGTGTTCTGATTAATATTCTGTCCTTCCTGTTCCTTGTTGCCGTTCACTGTCAATGAGCTGTTTCCCAAGCCACCCTAGGAAGACACACTGGGAGAAGAAATTTTTGATTCTTTCAGTACTGAAATACTGCCCAAATGGGACATCTGTCCAATGTCACCATGAGATAATCTACTAGAATATGAGTGTCTATAGCAAATTTCAATAGGATCAGAGGCATAGGAACTTAACTATTTTTAGCCTGGGTTTTATCCTTGAAAGTACAGACCTGCTTCTTACTAATATAAACACAACTCTTCTTCATGCATTGCTTAGAATAACCCTAAATAGTTCACACACAGCCAAAATATTTTATGTCTAAGTAAGCACATACCATCTTTTTTCCAAGAAACTTCCGTTGATGCAGGCCTCAGATGAAAAGATCAGACTAACAGTCCTGATAGGGAAGGGGGAAAAAAAAAAAAAAAAAGTTCATTTTTTTTTATTCTGGCAGGAAAAACAGTACATGAAACTAAATATCTAACAAAGTTTTTCTTAGTACTTTTAATATAACTCAACCATATTAAGAAGTGCTCAGAGAAACACTCAGAGCCAAATTAGCCAGGATCTTGAAATGCTCAGAATGAGCAACTGGAGTTAGGTTTGCCTACAGAAAATAACCTCCCACATAAGATTCAAAAGGAGGAGCTTTTCCTAATTCTCACCAATAAGCATGAGGCTCTCCTGTTGCACTTTGGGAAATGGGTAACTAAAGAGATTGCTCATTTCAAATGCTGGCACACACTGCACATTCCAGGCACAGAATTATGGTTCAGATTAGGCTTTTTGCACAAAGTCTTGGTCTGCAGACCAAACCTTGCACTCTTGTAACTTGTCAAGCCCTGGCCAACTTAACCTCCATTCTGTCCACTAAGAAGAGGACAGGCTGTCAGTACCTCTGTTCTTAGCAAGGCCATACTGAAGAACTGCTGCTTATCAACATGTCTTTTCTGTACGCATAAAAACATTTAAGAAGGTCTGGTACAAGTTTAAAAGAAACAAAAAGCAAATTTTACATTCAGCCTTTGCTAAATTCTTGAACATCAAGTCCTACCAGAGTCTGCAAAGGAGAATAATTTTCAACAAAAACTGCATCGGGTTAAAATAAACCTACACACATAGGGTCCCGACTTACTTGGTGTCCCCCCACTTCTGCGGATCAGGGTCAGAAATCCATGCATCCTTCACAGTAGCAATTCCGTCCAAACTAACATAGCAATTCTGTATGAAATGTATGTACATAGCGATGAGAATATGTGTAGCACTCAGGACCTTTTTTTTCAAGCTAGTCATTACAGGAAGTTTTCAGCAAAAGCCTAAATATGGCCAAATTAATAGTCATCCAGCATGAGTTGTAGATGCATACAGTGTAGAACAGATACCTAATTGCTTATGAGTATTTTCTGCACAGAAGTAGAAGATCTGCAAAGAGGGAGATGGGAGCTTGAAGCAGTTACAGAAGGATGGAAAATCCAAGTTACCATCAGCAAAAAACAATGGTAATTTGTAAGTCAAGATCAAATATGCACACATACATTTTTCTTCAACAGCAGGACAATACTTTGATTTCCTCCTGCAATAATTTTAATCTCCTTTTGGGACGTACTGTTCCCTGTGAAAAATAAGCAGATTTTAAAAGGAACATTTGAAGAAACAGTCATTGTCTATAGCGAATTCAATGCAAGTGCAAAAAAAAAAAATCCTCAAACTGTAGCTTTTGGTCAAAAAATAGATTATGTGGCCTCCATCTGTGATAATAAATCAGGTAGCAAATGAAATCATCAAGCAAGCTTTATAACCCAGGCCACTGGAAGCTGTTGGTTATCCAATATATTGTTATCCAATAAGGATAGCAAGGACTAGTCAGTGATTAGGTTGATCCAATTGGACAACTAATGTTTTCTACTAAGGTCACGGAAAAATTAGGGAATGCAAATTAAGTGCTCAGTGGTAGACCTCCTTCGACAGACTGAGAAAGTAAGCAATTTAGGAGACACGTGTCTCAGGTCTTCTGTCCACAGGAAAATCTCTGTTTTTAAGCTGGAAACAACGGGAAGCAAGTTTTGTATCTGTAGGGAAGTGTGTTTCTTGTGAGCTTGCCCAGTGTAAGCAGAAAGGGCACCTTGCGATCTACCTGAAATGCAACCTTCCACTTCCTTTACCTCACCTGTGCCCACGTATTTGCAGAACTGACCCTCTTAATCATCCTTCTCACAACCTTAGGAAGAAAGATCAAGTTTGGTCCTAAAGTACGTTTGTCTTTTTTTCCTCCCACACTTACTACATTCTCCACATTAGAAATGAAAAAAAAAAAAGTTTACGTTCTTAATGTAAATCAGGAAAATACTTGCCTTTTATGACTTTGAAGAACTGAATACAAATGATACAGGTCCACAATCGACATTACCTTGATTATGTTTTCTGTTCTCCACAGGTAAATTGATTGGAAGTGGTATCAGCTGATTAGACTTGCCCTCATTTCCCAGCTGTCCTTCTTCTCCTGAACCAAACGAGTAGACTTTGCCCAAGGTGGGGACATAGACGAGAGTGTGTCGACTGTTCAGAGAAAGAATGGTCAGAATAAGCTAGTACCATGGAGCTACTCAGAACAAAAATTACAAATACATTTTAGAGTGGGTAGTTGGGGCTTGCCTTAAAATCATAGTCCAGCTATAAAATAGACCTTAAGCAAATCCTTAGGATCCTTCTTTGCAAAAATATTTAACAACAGGAAAAAAAATATGAACCCAAATTTTCTGTACTATTCTCTGTTTGTGATTTACACTGGTTCTATCCTCTTCCCTTTGTTCCAAGCAGAGATATTTCCTAACCTACAATGTGTGACAGAAATTGACAGAAGACTTTGTGGCCCAGTTCCAGAAAACAACAACAGAATCACATAGTTTTTCCATTTTGGTTCTTTGTAATAGCCACCATTTGGTCAAAGTGGATGGGAACTCGGTGACATTCCTGGCTCAGCCTTTTGACAGTCATTTGTGCCCTTCCTTTCTTGGAAGTGTACCCTTCCTTTCTTGGAAGAGCAAGGGCCAAGGGCTGCTAGTGGTTTTGGAAATGCTCCTGCTGCTCAGCACTGGCTGCTGATTCTGCCTTCCCAGGGGTTATTGCCTGAAGGGACAACACATGAAGAGCTGATGATACTGTGACAGTGGTGAGCGGCCTCAATGCAGGGATTTGCACAACGTGGCGGTGACTTCTCCCCCTACCATTGTTCACCAAATCTCCTAAGACTTAAATTTAGGGGACATTTTCCTGGTGTTTTCCCACCTTCCACAGGCCACCTGTGACACTCTTGCTCCCCACAGCTCAGCCACCACGCGAGGGGTTTGTTCGTTGCGAGTGGAGTTGTGACCAAGTTGTCCAGCCTCTCCCGCTCCAAAGGTGCACACCAGCCCGTCCTGGGAGCAGAGGAAACCACCAGGATCACTGCACATGGCCACCACCAGGAGGGAGAGCCAGCAAGAAACCACGCACCACATGGGCACCACATTCAAAGCATCTCCCATTCAAACACAGGTAAGGTTCTCTTTGCACAAGCTTAAACTTACATTGCTTTCATGTGCACATGCTTGAACTCCCAAGAATAACTCCCTGTTTAAGAATTTTACTTGTGTATGAGTAAAGTCTACTGAATTGGGTACTGTTGGCATTTTCTGAAATCCCCAAAATGCTATAAAATACCTAAGATGTTCAGAGAGGATATAAAGCGCACATTCCGGCTCCAAGATTCCTGTTCACCATTTTTCTACAGAGTATCTGTGTGCAGGTGACAGGAGTCAGATTAGTTTTCCAAAACTCGGTTAGCAACCCTTGCAAACCATCTTTGGATTCCAGGGGAGGCAGGTCTGGCCATTCTAGTTTCTCTGCTGTAGCAGCAAATCTTCTCTCATAGGGTGCCATCTCAGATGCTGAGTTCAAATTCAAATTCACCTTGGAGAGAACTGCGGTGTGATCTGCCCCACACGAGATAAACACAGTCTTCCAGTGTTGTAACGCTCTAATATATGATGGGCAGTCCCTGCCTGGAAACAAAATACAACATAGCTAAAGCAAGAGAGTATGGGGGAATCTCCCTGCTCCCCATAAAGCTTTAGAAAAGACTTGAGCCTTTTCAGTCTTTTCTTAGAGCAATCCACAACTTGGTTTTGAGTCCTTTTCTACCCTCCACTGTAATACACTCTGTGTCATAACTTTCTGTCTTATTTATAGTATTTTCTTTATTAGTTTACTTTAGATAAACACTTGCACGTGAGGCTGCCTAAAGGTAGGTTCCTTCATCCATACTTGGCTTTGAAATATCTGACACAAGGTCTTAGGCATGTCAATCTCTCACTGATTTCAGTTCTAAGTGGTAAAAGCAACTCTCTGCTAGGCTTCGAGGTTTGACGTTATAGGGCGATTTTAATTCATCTCTCGCCTGACATTTACACACACACACAAAAAAAAAAAAAGGAAGGCAAAGAGGCATAAAATGAATTTCCTTGGTGCAAGAGTGCAAGACTGCTTTGAGAGATAATCGAACTGTAAAGGAGTCTCTGAGACTTACAGTTTTATCTGTCCATGTTATCATGTCAGCCACATAAAATGATGGCAAGTTCTACACTGACCAGTATAACCCCCACACCCCTTGTCCTGCACGTGTTTCCTAGCCAGGACACAACAGTTTGCACATGAAAAACTCATCCAGATGTACTTCCAACTCTCTCCTACCACTGCTGTTTCACAGGGGCTTGGCATTACAGTTGTGCAGCAACCTCCCACTGGAAAAACGCCTCCCTACCTCAGTGTCAGCTGCTGTCCTTCCTCACCTTGTGTGTGTCCGAGTCCCAGCTGCCCAGAGTCGTTCTTCCCCCAGGAGTACACAGCACCGGACACCGACACGGCGAGGCTGTGAGCTCCTCCTGCAGCGACCTGGGCGAGCGCGATGCCCTTCAGCCCCTCCACGAGCTGCGGATCTCCAGTGCTGCTGAGCTGGCTCCCCACTCCGAGCTGCCCGTGGGTGTTCCGGCCCCATGCGAAGAGCTCGCCTCCTTCACGGGGGAGCAGGAGGGGAGCTCCAGCACTCACCTCCCTGTGCTCTCAGGGAGGCAGGGCTGGGCTGGGCCCAGGGAGGACAAGCAAGGGAAGAGGCTACCTCTAGACAGCGCGATGGAGTGATAGTCCCCACAGGCTATTTGGACAATGTGTCGGGTTCCTAGTTCTGTCAGCGGCCTAAAAAATTAGGGAGGAAGACGTAGATGAATAGAAGACTTAGGTGAATAGAAAGATGCTTCTGTAGACAGTGCTCGTCCCCACAGCCTCACCAGGAGGCTGCACAGTTTGGAAAGCTTGGGTCATGCACCCATAGCCCACCCAAGTCACAAGTAGTTTTTAAGTCACTTGCGTTCCTCTGGAACATGCCACACACCCCTAGTAACTTTAAGGGAAACCTGCATCATGCTCATCTCTGACAGCCCAGATCTTTCTACTAGCCTCGAAAGCAGTGCATTTCTTATTATATGGAGGGGCAAAAAGAAAAAAAAAAAAAAAAAAAAAGAGTGCTTTTGAGGAAGTCTCCCAGATGCTGCTTTTGGAAGAGGGGGACAGGGTCTCTGGCATTACCACCCATACCATATGCACGCTCCTCACCTCGTCTCAAAGTGGTTAGACGAAGCTTTAGGCCGGTGCTCTGAGAGCTTCCCGTCAGCGGAGAGGAGGAGCAGGTGTGTTGCTTCGCAGTCCAGACATTGCACCTCCTCCTTGCTCTTCAGTGGTACAGATCTTTCCAAGCCCACTGGCACAGACGCAGCTCTCAGGCAGCGGCACCGTGAGGAGCTCTGCCCCCTCCCCAAGACCCCCGGGCGCTCTCTCCCGGGCACCCCGCTCCGCAGCGATGCGCGAGGGGAACACGCAGCGGATTCTGTCAGCCCCGTTGGGCACCGCACGTCCTCCCCGCAGCTCCCAGCTCTCCATACCCCCGGGGACGGCAGCTTTCCAAGCGCCAGGGGGGCAGTTACCTTCCGGGCCGGAGAGCAGGAGCAGCCCCGACCTCTCGAGGGGGGCGAAGCGGCCCCACTTGCAGCAGACCTGGCGCAGCCCCTCGGGCTGCCGCCGGAAGCAGCC